ACGCAACACGCGTCCGGCCCTCGGCCTGTGCGCATGCGCAATCACTGCCGCACCGCGTAATGAACTATGCAATGTATACATGGTAAATATTTGATTAATCTTCGATAATTTCTGCTCGCCATCATTTCAGCTCGTTGAGAAGAAAATTTCCGCGTCTCTAAATGACATTAGCGTCATCTGAGTGAAGTCCCGAGTGACTTTCGAACATGAATATAAAGCAGTCTCCACCACAGTCTCCGGCCTTTGATGCAGCAGCAAACGAGAAGACTCGCGGCCCGACCACCGGCAAGCAGGAGGAGGCGCGAAGTGCCAATAACGATTCAGCGCGCATACTAGCAGTTTCTAGTGACTATTTCACAACCGCGGGCAGTAATGTGTAATGACGAGCTAGGAAGTCTACATCGCGAATTTCAACGGACACGAGACGCCGGATCTCACACCGAATGTACGCGTTGCACGTACTACAGTATACCTAACGCATCCTGCGCACAAGAAAATAGTTCGTATATATCACGACTATTAGACAGGTGTCATTTCGTTCATTGAGTGAGATTAAAGTGACCCGTTACATACCATTTTTTTCTACCCGAGATGTTTCTTATTTTAATAATCTACACCACATAAGTATATATATATATACCCTTCATTATTTGGATCTGTTATCTATCAGATCGTATAATGATATATGAGCACTCCTAGCTGCTAGAGAGCGAGCGAGAGAGAGAAAGAGAGAGAAAGTGAGAGTGAGAGTGAGAGAGAGAGAGAAAGAGAGAGACGGACAGATATATATAGGAGTACGGCATTGCATAGGTATCAATAGCGTTGAGTCTGTTCGTTGTGCCTGTCCGCATAAGATAGGAGGGTGCATACCAGCAGTGGACATGCCCTTAATCAAATTCCACTCGACATCCGCGTGAAATGCTCACCTCTCAATAGGCATGACTGCTGTACTGTCTAATAAATGCTCATTATAGGTAGAGAGAGATTATCACCCTCAGAGATTATTTACTCCTGATATACATACATATATAGACTCTCTGTTATGCATATTTTTTATACGAACGTTAAATAACAACTTCAACAATATAAATTTCATCCATGAGGTTACATAAACCAACCACACACCTCTCGATAGTAAGTGCAATGCTAGCAGTTTCACGCACAGTGATTACTTAAAACCATATACTGGATTTACTGATAGCATACGAGGAACCGCAAATATCTGTCTATATGTATACACATCCTACACACGATACAAGCAGGAGGGAATACAACTCTCCCCTGATATAAAGTTATATATACTGCCATATAACATGCTATCTAATATCGCAGATTCTGGATATCGCGTGTTTAGTACATCACTACGCCATTTAACTAAATCGTATTATGCCGATAATCGATTTTATCACATCAGCAACACCAGTTTTTCGGAATGCACGATATCACTAGCCGACGGTTATAACAAGTGTTTACGTTATAATCTGCACAAGCACATACGTGCACGAACACGCGCGCGCACGCACCCGGCGGCATTAGATATCTTTCCAATATATACACGCTGAACACACCAAAGAATGGAACAGTAACTAACCGCAAAAATAAGAGATGTGAACAATCGGAACCACGCACCCATGCTCGTACGTTTGTGGCTGATTATACTATATACAACGAATGGGGCATTGCGGGCAGCGAGTGTATTACCATTCGTTATAAAAACAATCTAGTAAGAAGCTAACTTAATATGGCGATTGCATTTGCAGTTCTTCAAATGATTTTTTGACAAACACCGAATTACTTATAAATTTGATGCTGGAAATAATCATTGTTCTTGCACTGCTGCATATATATATATATATATATATATATATATATATAT